CTTCTATTGTCCTTTTAACAGCAAGGCCAATGAGATATTCTTAGTTAGAATGGCAACATAAGAATTCTTCTTTCTCCAGTGGTCATATTTCATAGCAGGTAGTTTTAGAGCATATTTTAAAAACAAGTATATTTTAACATAGTTAATTTGCAAGTAATATATATATATATATATATATATATGTAAAATTTCCTTTAGTCCTGAACTGTAGTGCACTACAGTTCTATAAATCAGATAAATTTGATCAACCAGCTATTTAGAACATGAAAATAGCCCCCTTCCAGAAAATTTCTGGTCAGTTACATTATCATTATGCGAAATTATAGCAAAAATCTTAGATTCATCAATGTTTATGAGCTGGAGATTTCTCAACATTGTTTTTCTTATGGGAGTTTGGACTCTAAGGACATCATCATCATCTCAGATGTACATGCTGATACATTTCATTTCAACAGTGCAGTCAAATTTCAGAAATACCTAAAATATATGAATGATATTGTCTTCTTGATACATTTCCAAATATCATGAACGTCTCTTTTGTACACTTGGTAGGGAACAAAGATAAAGTTTCATAGGAGGGAATAAAAATTGAAGAAACAGAAACATAATGGTGATATATTTCATTTCTTAAACTGTAATGTTCACCTATTTTCTATTCCAAGACTGCCCTTACAGTACAAAAAATGGGCAAGATAGTTGATCTAATACTTACCCTCATCTCGGGGTGGTATCTCAGATTTTTGTTTTTTATGTTCTTTGTTTAGTTTAATCATTGGTTATTTTTAGAACCTTACTATTACACCCCAGTACTGTCTTCAGATTTATTATATTCTAGTTGGTTCTGGCTGGTGTGGCTCAGTTGGTTGAGCGTCATTCTTTGCACCAAAGGGTCAGGGGTTCGATTCTGAGTCAGGGCAAATGCCCAGGTTCTGGGTTCAATCCCCCATCAGGGTGTGTGCAGGAGGCAGCTGATTAATGTTTCTCTCTCTCTTAAAAAAATATCAATAAAAACATATTTTTAGTCTGGCCGGTGCAGGTCATGGTTCGATTCCTGATCAGGGACATGCCAGGTTTCCCTGTTCAATCCCCAGTTGTGGACTTGCAGGAAGCAGCTGATCCATGATATACTCTCTCATCATTGATGTTTCTATCTCTCTCGCACTCTCTATTTCTCCCTGAAATCAATAAAAATACACAGTTTTGGATACAGTTTTCACTGCATTAGGAATATTCAGGTCCTAAACTGTAAAGATAACCAATTAATAGGGTGAGCATTTTTTAAAACAATATTATACATCTTTGAACTTGGCATCTGACTTTTCAAAAAATACCACTTACCATCTATTTTCTCTTACATTCAGGTAGATGATAATAGGACCTGATCTATCACTACTCTTTTTGTGTCCACGTGAAATCACTCTCCCAGCCTAACTCATTATCATGGGTGGGTTTTTTCCATTTAATCCAATTGCATAGTTCAGTATCAAAGTCAAATAAAAATGTTGTCTATAGCACGTACACCACTACAATTTAGAGAGAGTACAGATCATTATAACCTGTTGCCTGAGTGTCCCGGATTTATGTTATTGTTTTTAACTGTCAGCAGGACTGTATGTTAAACTTAGTAGGACATTGACATTTCCATGTGTTTTGAGACAGCACTGCAGTCTGCCACTATCTTTTGGATCCATCGCCTATCGAGTTAACTATCCACTCCAGCCATGTGCCATCTGCATATTTGATGAGTGACATCAGTCCACTAACTAGGGCTGCAGCTGTGTCTGGGATGGGGATTGAGGGCTGGAAGAGACAGATGGGCCCCACAGGGGGTCATAAGCAATTAGAACAGAACAATGCCATGGTCACTTCGCATTAAGCAAAGGCAGAGAGAGTCCAAATCAGGTGTCATGTAAGAAGGAGCTAATTTGGGAGATTAGATAACTTTTACTTGGCATGAAGACAGGAGACCTGGGAAAAGATCCACCCCAGGAATTAATAAATTAATACGATTGAAGACAAGAACCAATAGAATGTATGTATATATATATATACATATATATATACATATATATACATATATATACATATATATACATATATACATGTATATACATTTTCTAGAGAAATAGAACTGAGAAAGAAGGAGAAAGAGAGAGAGAGAGAGAGAGATTTTAAGAAATTGGCTCACATGATTGTGGAGACTGGCAAGACCTAAATCTGCGAGGTGAGCTGGTTCCAGGAAAGATGTGCATTTTAAGTCTGATGGCGATTGCTGGCAGAATTCCCTCTCCCTTGGGACTGGAAAGTCTTTTTCTTAAGGCCTTCAACTGATTGGATGAGGCCCACCCACACACGGAGAGCAATCTGCTTTATTCAAAGTCTACTAATTTAAATGTAAATCCCACCCCAGAAATACCTTCACAAAGACATCTAGGATAGTGTTTGAGCAAATATCTGGGTCCTGTGGCCTGGCTAAGTCAACGCATAAAATTAACTGCCGGGGTCCAACCCCAGCAGGTCCAGGGGTTCCCAAAGGTGTGGACGGAGTCGGCAAAGATGGAATGACACAGAGACAGCGCTCAGTTGATCAGCAGCCTTGCCAGGATCTCCAGCCACAATCTCCAGCCAAGTTCTATGTCCATGTTCTCTTGCTAGGTTCTCCAGCCAGGTTCTCCAGGCAGGTTCTGTAGCCAGTTCTCCAGCCAAGTTCTGTCTAGGATCTCCAGCTAGGTTCTCCAGCCAGGTTCGGTCGCCAGGTTCTGTCTAGGTTCTCTTGCCCTGTTCTCTCCAGCGAAGTTCTTCAGTCTCTAGGTTCTGTGTAGGTTCTGTCTTCTAAGTTCTGTCTTCTAAGTTCTGTCTCTTCTAAGTTCTGTGTCTTCTAAATTCTGTGTCTAAGTTCTGTCTCCTGTTGTCTTGTTGCATCTGTATTTATACCAGACTTAGTTAAGAGTTTCATCCCCACCCTGACTTCAGGGAAAAATCCCTACCTGGGGAAACAACCTTTCTCGGAGAGGTGACCTTGTTTAAAACACACAGCACTAAGGGGAGCAAACATATTAAGAACAGTATGCTATATACGCCAGGTCCCTTGAAACATATGCTGTGCAGATGTTTCTTTCCTGCAGCGACTGTGTCAAGCAGCAAGGATGGACCGGCTTCCGGCAATTAACCATCACAATACCACGTAGGAAAGCCCAAAACCAACACAAAACAGCTGGTTTATCCAACCGGTGAATTAGTTCTCCTTGTACTTTCATACCTTGTGCCTCTCCTCATCACGGACACATCCTGGAATGCCTTTGCCCAACCCTGCTTCCTTCACCACTGGAAAAACTCTGCTCACCTTTCAGAGTTCAGATCCAATGTCACCGGTGTGACACTTCCTTCAATCCCACATCCCTTCCTCCCTTCCCGAAGAACTCGTTCCTTCCTCGACCCTCTATGTCTGTACTGTGACAGCAGTGGTCACACACACTGCACTGCAATTGCTTACACATCAGACAACAGACTAGCAAAGTGGTTCCAAATGCAAACCCCGGCTCCAGCTCCCAGGGTTCAGGTCCCGACCTCACAAGTTACCCAACCTCTCCGTGCCTTAGTTTCATCTATAAAAATGGAAATACAAAGTTGTACTGACAATCTATGGTTGTAGTGAGAACCTAATGTACCTAAAACTCTAAGAATAATTTTCCACATGTAGTAATCACTAAAAAAGGCAGTTATTTTCATTCTTAATGCTATTGTTGCTCTCTGGTTCCTGTGTCAGGTGGAAAGATCCAGTGTTTCTGCAGGGCAGGGACAGCAACAAACCTCCCCCCTCCCCTGCCCCCGCCACCGCCATAATGCATGGAATAGACCAGGGTCTATAGGCATCGATTAGAGCGTTCAGTGTCTTATATTCGTGGAATGCTCTAAAATATCCAAAGCCTGGCAACATTATAGCCCATTACATCATGTGAGGTCATTCTTATCCCCATTTTACAGATGAGGGAACTGAGAAGTAGACGTGAAATGAATTGTCCAATGTCACACAACTGGCAAGTGCAAAGTCTCCAAGTTCAAGTCCAAGGTCATTGAGAGAGAAGGACAGAGATGCCAGGAATCCGGGAACGTTTTCCTCTTCTGGCCCAGGTACCAGCCTCCCTCCTCCCATCGCCTTCTTCTCATTGCCAAAATCACAGACATTCTGGATGGCAAAGCCTGCAACAAAGATGAGGCCTCCATCCCTGCACCAGACTGACTGAGGAGAGGGTGTGGCCAGAAGGCTGTTAATACAAGATATCCTCGGCCGTGACCGTGGCCTCTTCTATTTTGATCTTAATCTCTGGGAGGGGAATCTGACTGATGGCCACAACCACCAAGTTGGCAGCGTGGGCGGAGGCGCTGGCCACGCAGATCCAGAAGGACTCTTCGTACTGCTCTTCCACCACCACGAAGCGGAAGAGCCTCTCCTGGAAGTTGGCAATGCGTTCCGTCAGGTCGTGGAATCTCACGGCGGCCATGAAGCTGGTGATGGCCAAGGCCACGACGCCACCTGCAACCCAGAAAGGTGGCCCTCACTCACAGCTCCTTTCGTCAGTCGTAACGACTTCATGGGAGGTGGCATTTCTGTGGCATAGGCAACAAACTCGCTTTGGGTTTATAAAAGCCCTGAGGGAGCCCTAGCCGGTTTGGCTCAATGGGTAGAGCGTTGGCCTGCGAACTGAAAGGTCCCAGGTTCGATTCCGGTCAAGGGCAGATGCCCAGGTTGTGGGCTCAATCCCCAGTGGGGGACTTGCAGGAGGCAGTTGATCCATGATTCTCTCTCATCATGGATGTTTCTATCTCTCCCTCTTCCTTCCTCTCTGAAATCAATAAAAATATATTAAAAAATAAACCCCACAGATGTGTAAAAAAGCCCTTAGGGAGACACAAACTTTAAATTGCTTTTTAAAGCGGCAGATACCCACACGGTGTGAGAGGTGAGCGGTGTTGCAGGAAGAGGATAAGCTTCAGATCAGATGGGCTTTCACCCTTGACCCCTCTAATGTTTTCCCTGCCCAGTGCCCGTCTTTCTAGGGTGTGCACATCTGGATTAGTTCCATTTCTAAATTGTTTAGGATTAGGATGTAGAGTGAAGGCGATGTGGGAAGATATAAGAAAATGCCCTAGCCCAGTGGTCAGCAAACTGTGGCTCGGCAAACCACGGCTTGCGAGCCACATGCGGCTCTTTGGCCCCTTGAGTGTGGCTCTTCCATAAAATACCGGCTCTTCCACAAAATACCGACTTCTGCGCATGGGCCACAAAGTTTCAATCACACTGTACATGCGTGCCCGCATGTGGTATTTTGTGGAAGAGCCACACTCAAGGGGCCAAAGAGCCGCATGTGGCTCACAAGTGGCGGTTTGCCGACCACGGCTCTAGCCCATTTGGCTCAGTGGATGGAGTGTTGGCCTGCAGACCTAAGGGTCCTGGGTTAGATTCCGGTCAAGGGGATCCACCTCCATTGTAGGCTCCTCCCTGGCCCAGGCCCTGGTTGGGCTCATGCAGGAGGCCACCAGTTGGTTTGTTTCTCTCACATGATGCTTCTCAGTCGTTCCCTCTCTCTCCTACTCTCACTAAAAATCAATGAAAATAGCCTTGGGTGAGGATTGACAACAATAACAGAAAAGAATATCTTATGTGTGGATCGGGGTTTCCACAGAGGGTAGACTGCTCTCTGCTTTTTAATGATCCTCTTCCCATGTTTTAGATTAAGAAGAGATGAGAAAAGGAGGAAAGGACGGTAGAGGGGAAACTGAAAGGACTCCAAGCTTCATGTTTCCGACCTGTTGCTTCAAACTTTAACTTCTCTTTCTCTCTTTTCCTCTCTCTCTCTCTCTCTCTTCTACTGCCTTGATTTTATTTATATTTCAAAAAAAATACATTTACTATGCTTTTTGTTTAGATTATTACATCTCCATTGAAGAAAATTTGGACACCAGAAAAAATCAGAAAGATGAAAATACAAATGTACTTTTATCCTAAAAGCCAGGTATAAACACTTTAAACATTTTAGTGTATTTCTTTGCATTTCTTTCTCTTGAACAAAATCAGTATTATGGCGCTCTAACCGTTTTACACTTGATTTCCCCCCTTACTTGAACATTTCCCCGCGTTGTCAAATATTCTGTTACTGCACCACTTTACACTGGTACATAAGTATTTTATCCTAGCAACATGCTCAGTTAATTTAATTCAGTTTGATTTAAGTGTGATCTTATTTCTGGGTACCTAGATTACTTCTAATTTTTGATATTAGAAAGCACTGCAGCAAACCCCTTCTTATGAATATCTTTTCCAGTTATTTCCTTAGCAAAAATTCCCATTGGAATTGTTTCATGAAAATATATTCATATTTTTAAAACATACATTTTTATTGATTTCAGAGAGGGAGAGAGAGATTGAAACATCAATGATGAGAATGATTGATCAGCTGCCTCCTGCATGCCCCCTACTGGGAATCGAGCCTGCAACCTGGGCATGTGCCCTTGACTGGAATCGAACCTGGGACCCTTCAATCGGCAGGCTGGCACTCTATCCACTGAGCCAAACCAGCTAGGACGATATTCATATTTTTATGCCCTTTGATGCTAAAGTTTTGTCAAAATGCCTTTTTTTTAGTACCCTGGTCAGTAGAGCTTGAGAGTATTGTCTCTCTGAGGAAGGAAATTGAGAGAGATAAGCATTTAGTTAGGGAGCAGGACTGAGCACTTTTCCACGCCAGTACTGTGGGGGTTCATGCAGAGGTGAACGGGATACCTGTAGCCCAGGTGGGGTCAAGCATGTATAGAAGTGATCCTAAAGGATGGCCACAGTCTCAGACACAGGCAACAACATAACTGACTTACTGACAATGCATTCTAATACAGGGTCAAACAGCAGTACCTGTCTTTGTACTTCATGGTCACCCTTGTCAGGTAAAGGTAGCAGATTATTGCTAGAACAAATTGCCTACGAGACCTGGGCTTTCTGAGATGGCCCTCATTTCTCAGGATTTTGTTATTTTCATTACAGATGATTTTTTAAAGTTTAGAACTAAATGTGAATTAATTTCTATGTATTAATATACGCCCAAATCCACACACACACACACACACTCCTTTTGTATTGGTGTTTGGCTTGGAAAATAGGGCGCAGTGGTCATCAATGAGACCAAGGATTAATGAAAACGCAAAGGGCTTGGCCTCAGCGTTACCGGGGTTGGAATCCCACCTCTGTTACTCGCTGCTGTGTGACCTTACCTGTGAGCTTCGGGCTCCGCATCTGTAAATAGGGGGCTAATAACACTTGATTCAGTGGTTGCCAACTGGTGGTCCGTGAGGTCCGAAAGGTTGGCAACCGCTGCATGGAGGTTGTGAGGTTTACACAAAACAGGCAGGTAAAATCCCCAGTTCCTTCTCTTCCGTCATCCATGAGGGCTCCTCCCAGCAGCAGCCCCTAGTCATGCGCTCTAACCATTTGGTCCTTTATTGTGACAGAGACGCTGCCTCGTTTAATAAGGAGGACATCCGTGCCCGTCAGGAAGGCTATAGACCCAGGGAAGTGAAGGCGGAACCCAGCCTAGTGACGGTGAGGACACGAGTTTCTCCCCCAGGGGCCCTCCTTACCTGCCAGGACGTTCCATAGGCAGATGCCCCCGGGGCCATTGACCGCCTTGTAGGGCACCTGGATCATGTTGAGAATGGCAAAGCCCATGCTGACCAGAGCCAGGGCCAAGGCCAGGAAGAGGAGCAGCAGGATCATCACGTGCAGGCCCGCGTTGAGCTCCTTCACCAGCTGTGGGAAGACTGCGGAGAGGACACGGCCGTTATGTCAACATCAGAGCTCAGCTCAAGTTCCCAGGGCCCAAGCTTGCGTACCACGGAGGCTTTACTAGAGGCTGTGAGGGCCGGGCAGCAAGTGCTGGGCTTTCAAAGAGCTGGAGCTAGTCATGGCCTCCGGTTCTGCCACTTGTTAGTTGTCCAACCATCCTCTCTTCCTCGGGGAGAATGCAAAATCTAAATGTGTCCTGTTGGCAATTTAAAGTGCATTGACTGCACAGCCCTGGGGTCTGGTGTGAGCTGGTGCATATAAACCCAGATGGCATTATATATATATATTAGTAGCCCTGCGCATGAATCTGTGTGCCAGTAGCTCGCTGCTGCCCTCCTGTAGCTCTCCGCCTGCTGCCCCACCCTCCTGTAGCTGCCCCTGTCCCCTTCCCCCTCCTCCCTCTTCTCCCCTCTCATTGGCTTGCTGCCCTGTCCCCTCCTGTAGCTATTTGCCACCCGTTCATAGCTCGCTGCCCCACCCTCTTGCTGATCCGTGATCTGGTCCTTAAGCGGTCAGTCATTACGTAGCAACAATTTCATATTACATCTTTATTACATAGGATTATTGATTTCAGAGAGGAAGGGAGAGGGAGATAAAAACATCAATGATGAGAGAGAATTAAGTCCACAATCTGGGCAGGTGCCCTGACCGGGAATTGAACCATGTGCTCCTGGTTCATGGGTGGACGCTCAAGCACTGAGCCACACTGGTGGGGCAGAAGGCATCTCTTTGGCAAAAGAGGTTGGCAAGAGAGTCAGTGAGCCAGAACCAGTTTGGCTCAGTGGATAGAGGGTCGGCCTGCGGACTCAAGGGTCCCAGGTTCGATTCTGGTCAAGGGCATGTGCCTTGGTTGCAGGCACATCCCCAGTGGGGGTGTGCAGGAGGCAGCTGATCGATGTTTCTCTCTCATCCATGTTTCTAACCCTCTGTCCCTCTCCCTTCCTCTCTGTAGGAAATCAATAAAACATATTTTTTTTAAAAAAAGAGAGTCAGTGAAAGAGGGACGATTGCAAAGCTTGCATATGTGTTAAGAGAGTTGCTTTCATTAAATCAGGATTGGTCTCAGGCACATGTGTGAAGAGGGTAGCAGGATGTAGCCAAGTGAAGCCTAGATCTGGCACCCAAAGATCTGGGTTCAAATCTCAGCTTTGCTCATTTGCTCACAACTGTCAAATAGGCTCCTCTAAACCAGTGGTTCTCAACCTTCCTAATGCTGCGACCCTTTAATACAGTTCCTCATGTTGTGGTGACCCCCAAACAAACAATTATTTTCGTTGCTACTTCATAACTGTAATTTTGCTACTGTTATGAATCGTAATGTAAATATCTGATATGCAGGATGTATTTTCATTGTCACAAATTGAACATAATTAAAGCATAGTGATTATTCACAAAAACAATATCTAATCTAATAAAAGAGAAACATGCAAATTGACTGCACCTCTGCCACGCCCCAAACCACGCCCACCAGCCAATCAGAGCAACTATATGCAAATTAACCCAACCAAGTTGGTGGCCGGCAGCCACGGAGATGGAGCAAGCAGGAGGCTTGGTTGCCCCGGCGATGGAGGAAGGCAAGCTTCCTGCCTGCCTGGCCGGCTGTGGCCTCCACTCAAAGGCAACAAAGTTTCAAATATAGAAGATAAATAAATCCCAGATACCTTCTTCCAGCCAGCCTCCACTGGGAGCTTGAGACTGGGGGCCATTGCCAGCCTGCAAACAGCCATCAGCCCCTCACCCAGGCTGGCCAGGCACCCCAGCAGGACCCCCCACCCTGAAGGGGCTGTGGCCAGTATGAAAAAGGCCCTCAGCCCCTCACCCAGGCTGGCCAGGCACCCCAGCGGGACCCCCACCCTGATCAAGGACACCCTTCAGGGCAAACCAGCCGGCCCCCATCCATGCAGGCTTCTACCCTATATAATAAAAGGGTAATATGCAAATTGACCCTAACAGCAGAACCACTGGGAATGACTGGTCACTATGACACACACTGACCACCAGGGGGCAGATGCTCAATGCAGGATCTGCCCTCTGGTGGAGAGTGCGCTCCCACAGGGGGAGCTCTGTGCAGCCACGAGACAGGCTGCCGGCTACCAGTACAGCGGTGGTGGTGGGAGCCTCTCCTGCCTCCTCAGCAGCACTAAGGATGTCTGACTGCAGCTTAGGCCTGGTCCCCGCTGGCAAGTGGACATCCCTCAAGGGCTCCCAGGCTGCCAGAGGGCAAAGACTGGGATGAGGGACCCCCTCCGCCCCCTCTGCCTCTAGTGCAGTGACGGCGAACCTTTTGAGCTTGGCTTGTCAGCATTTTGAAAAACCCTAACTTAACTCTGGTACCATGTCACATATAGAAATTTTTTGATATTTGCAACCATAGTAAAACAAAGACTTATATTTTTGATATTTATTTTATATATTTAAATGCCATTTAACAAAGAAAAATCAACCAAAAAAAATGACTTCGCTTGTCACCTCTGACACGCATGTCATAGGTTCACTATCACTACTCTAGTGTAATTATATATGTGTTTTCCGATGGTCTTAGGCGACCGCTGTGAAAGAGTCGTTCGACCCCCAAAGGGGTCGCGACCCACAGGTTGAGAACCGCTGCTCTAAACCCTGCCCTTCATGCCCATCTTACAAGATTGTCCAGCAGATCAAGTGAAGTGTGTAGGGATGATAATAGCGTCCACCAGTGGGCACTATGGGAAGCAAGGAGCATCACCTTGCATCCCTCATAATGACTCAGCAAGGTGGACATTATTTCCCCATGTCTGGTGGACACTCAATTACGTTGCACACTACTCTGAAAATGTCCATATGCATGTGACAGGATAATTGAGTATTGGCATTTGTTTTCTCTATATTTGCCACTATGTTCTAGCTGTGAAGATTAAAGCATATATCATAACAGAATAATTTAAATATTGCCTGGGAAAAAGTCAGTTCCCCCAAAGGGTGGCTGTGGTTGTTGCTGTTGCTATTTTTACTCTGACTTCGCAGATCCTGTCTCCTATCAGTGTAATGGGGGTAATGATACCTGCACAGTATATGAATTGGGGGTAATCAACATTGACTGAGCATTAGTCAGTGGCTGAGCATTTTACATTTGTTCTCTCCTTCCATCCTTGTGACAAGGATATGTGGTTGATTTTATGAACCCCTTTTCCCCACAGGTTTGGAGACATTAACTCCCTTATCTTTGGGGAAGATGACCCTGAACTCTACACATAGGATTATAGTCTTGTGTAGCCTATAGAGTTTAGATCAGCCGTGGGCAAACTACGGCCCGCGGGCTGGATCTGGCCCGTTTGAAATGAATAAAACTAAAAAAAAAAAAAAGACCGTACCCTTTTATGTAATGATGTTTACTTTGAATTTATATTAGTTCACACAAACACTCCATTCATGCTTTTGTTCCGGCCCTCCGGTCCAGTTTAAGAACCCATTGTAGCCCTCGAATCAAAAAGTTTGCCCACCCGTGGTTTAGATAATTATTTTCAGTAGTTATACATGAAGACTTCAAAATGATGGAACACTAAAGAAATGGGCAGACCTACTCATCTGCAACTATCCCAGGGTTTCTACTGAACACCTCCCGGTCAAATTGGGGTCCACCTTTGAACTCCAAAGTCCCTCCTTCATCATTTGATACCGCTGACCAGCACCTCTTTATCCCCCTCAGGATCCAGGACTCAAAGCTTTCCTGGGTCCACTCACCCCACAACACCATCCCTTTCCCCTTGGGGCCTTTGCTGGCTCACTGCCTCCCGTTATTCATGGAAGGTGGGTGTCTCCCAGGCCTGAGAGTGAGCATTTTGGGTCCTTCTTCCTTTAAAGTGTCCTTTCCACTCAGAAGTTTCCAGACACTCCATGTCTACGTCCTTAGTTTTGATCTAACTTCCTGTCTGGGAGTATTTCCATTTACAGTTATCTCCACCAGGTTATCAGATCAGCACTGGAAACCGTACCCTGGAAAATAAACTCCTTTCCAAGGGATTTTCCTGAGTGAGGCTTCTCGCTTCCTTTTCCTTCCCTCCCACCTCAGTGCCCCTAATATACATTTGTTTTTCTTTTCACTCTTTCAGCCCTTTTTTATTCCAAACATAGTAGCTATGCCTGGTTACCTACTTGTTTCATTATCCCTTTCTTCCTTTTTAAAATATATTTTTATTGATTTCAGAGAGGAAGGAAGAAGGAAAGATAGAAATATCAATGATGAGAGAGAATCACTGATCAGCTGCCACCTGCACACCCCACACTGGGGATCGAGCCTGCAACCTGGGCATATGCCCCAACCGGGAATAGAGCTGTGACCTCCTGGTTCATAGGTTGACATTCAACCACTGAGCCACGCCTGCTGGGCTCATTATCTCTTTTTTTGAAATGCAATCCTGAGAACACGACTAGCATCGCAATCCTCACCAAACACTTAAAGTAGAAATGAATCACTATGTGATTGGCAAAGATAAAACAGTTTGCTAATACAGTGTGTTGATAAAGGTGTCAAACAGTGTAGAATATTAATTCATATATTCTCCTGAGAAGGCAACTTGGTAATTCTTCTACTCTCCTGAGAGGGCAATTTGGTAACTCTATCAGAGCAATTTCACAAGAAATTTCACATATGTTCAAAGCAGTATACTAGTATATTGGCTATTCATTCCAGTAGCAAAAGATTGGAGAAAAATCAAAAGATGAAATTGCTAGTCATGTGTCCTTAGGTATGAAAAAGGATCTTAACTGGTTGTAATATACAGTTGACTTTTCCCCCCTAAATTTTTATTGATTGATTTAGATAGATAGATAGATAAATCAATTTGTTGTTCTCCTCATTTATGCATTCATTGATTATTGTATGTGCCCCCTACTGGGGATGGAACCCACAACCTTGGTGTATCAGGACGTGGCTCTAACAAACTGAGCTACCCAGCCAGGGCTACAGTTGACACTTGAACAACATGGATTTGAACTTGACAGGTCCACTTACATGCTGACCATTTTCATCTTGTAAACAGATGGCATCAACTTACAGTTGTGGGGCACTGGCACCTCTAACCCCCATGTTGTTCAGGGTCAACCGTATAGTTCTTTGGTTTTCTCTATGATTGGTTTGGAAATTGATTCTCTGGGGTGTTTCCTTTTAACTTGTCCTTTATTTTTATTTCATTGTTCGTGTGTGTGTGTGTGTGTGTGTGTGTGTATTCAGCCTTTTATATTATGTGTTTTTTTTTTAAATTCTCACCCTAGGATATGTTTTTTAAAGATTGATTTTGAGAGAGAGAAACATCAATCAGTTGCCTCCCATACGTGCTCAGACTGAGGATCGAACTCAAAACCTAGGTATGTGCCCTAACCTAGAATCGAACCCCTGATCTTTTGTTGTACATGATGATACCCCAGCTGAGCCATCTGGCCAGGGCTATGGTATGTTTTTTTAAAAAAATATATTTTATTGATTTTTTACAGAGAGGAATGGAGAGAGATAGAGAGTTAGAAACATCGATGAGAGAAACATCGATCAGCTGCTTCCTGCACACTCCCTACTGGGTATGTGCCTGCAACCAAGGTACATGCCCTTGGCCAGAATCAAACCTGGGACCCTTGAGTCTGGAGGCCGACGCTCTATCCACTGAGCCAAACCGGTTAGGGCCTATGTTATGTTTTTAATAGAGCTATATATTCCAATATCCTCAATATCCCATTCTAATTTAATTGCCAGATAAATGCAACTATTCCTATTTTCTTGAATGCATGTAACAAAATATGTATTTCCTTCATGTATTTAAATGATGTCAATTTGTATTAGAGTATTTGTCAATGGCCCAGCATCTGCCTTTATACATTTAATAAGATACTAACCCTGATCAGGTTCTTAAGAACTACAATTTTGAAATATAAAATCAAATAATGAATAAAATTCTTTATTCTCAGCAATATGTTGAGTAATTTTGATTTTGTATTTTGTAGAACGCTGTTCTCACCAGCAATCTGACTCCAAAGGCTTGCAGGATATTGCCTTTTTTGTTTTTGTTTTTTCTTTCCAGAAGGCCAGTCATGGAGTCCTGCTCTATTTACATCCAGAGCAGCTCTGACGTGACACTGGATGCCAGCCAACACTAGTGCCTGTCAGCCGATGCTCGATGCTCGTGCCCGCCCACGTTCATGGCCAGCAGCCTTGCCTGAGGTCTCCTGCCAGGAAACATGCAAGCTGGTCTTTGAACCGGGGTAGTCTGATTCCAGAGCCCAGCACAGAGCCCATTTGCTTTTCTCAGACTACAAAATTTTTAATTTTTTTAAATTGATTTCAGAGAGGAAGAGAGAGGGAGAGAGGGATAGAAACATCAATGATGAGAGAATCATTGATCAGCTGCCTTCTGCATGCCCCTCACTGGGAATCAAGCCTGTAAACTGGGCACATGCCCTGCCCAATAATTGAACCATAACTTCCCGGTTCATGGTCAACACTCAACCACTGAGCCACACCAGCCGGGCAGACTACCATGCTTTTATATAAACAGAAGTAGAAGCAGTTGCCATGCTCCCTGATGGCTGGTTTCTGCCTGCAGCCTACTGCACCTGCCTGTGGGACTGGCTGGGAGTGCCTGAGGCAGGGGGCGTGGCCATGAAGTCCCTCTCTGCTCTGCAGTTTCCTGGCTGGGCGGCCTCAGGCAAGTTATGCAACCTCTCTGAGCCTCAGTATAGTCCTCTGCAAAATGGGATCGTTAATAATTCCCTCTTTATAAATTTGCTGTAAGGCTTAAGAGACCAGCTGTGTGAAGCATTAGCAGAATGTCTGACACATGAAAGTACTCAATATTGTACTAGCTATTATTAATAGTGGTAAACGAAAAGGAATACAAATCCCTATTTCTAATGTTTCTACGAGCCTTCACAGGGGAAAAAAGGTCTCTTCTTAGTGCCAGACAAGAACCCCTGGGTGAGTGTGGACTTTGTCACTGTGTCTCAGGATGAGGCAGAAGTCAAACTCCACATTTAGACATAAACACCCTTCCCGATTTGGAAAAATAAGTGTTAGGATCTAAAGCATCTTTCCTGCCCCGAACATACTCACTCGTAAATTGGGACTCGCGGCCCCCGAGCCCGCACTGCCGCACCTTGCACCCTAGGAAGAGCCCGTAGTAAATGTCCCCAATGAATTTGACCAGCTCTGGGTCGGTGGCATTGACCAGGTCCACTGCCGTCTGACAAAGGATCTTCCCACTCAGCCAGTGGGGCAGCACCAGAGCAACAATGATGAGGATGAAGGAGGAGAAGCTGAGTAGCGATGCCAGCCCGTACCACACCTTCTTGAACCATCCAGGCATCCTAGTGGGTGCGGGTCACCCCCCAGGTGTAAGAGCCGCAGCGGGGGCTGTTGACATCTTCCGGGCACTCGATGACCCTCTGGCCCAACGTCGGCTCTTCAAAACCCACCATTTCAAGATCCCAAGTCCATGGTCCGGTCCTCCCTCAGCGCCTGCGTCCACGCCTGGTGTTTACAACCACGTCCCTGAGCCTCTGAGAGACGGTCTTCACCTGAGAGGGTAGATGAGTGTGTCACTGAAGGAAGTAACCCTATACCTCCCACTAGACTAATGTTTCAGCCCAGGGTTTAATTGTTCCTCGTTTCAAGTATTTACATAACCCTGGTGTGGACCTCTTCGTGACGAAGATGTTATTAGCAGGCAAAAACAAGCAGATCTGACTATGAAGAGACACCAGCAATCATCCAAAATGCCTAAGTGGAAGGAAGAAAGTGGAATGACTAGCCCTTGAATATTGCCAACAATACATGGTATCGAATGTCGATCACTCTGATGCGTGTAGGGCACTTCTTTCTCTAAGATGTCACCGCTGTCAGAAATACCGTGAGATGACTTCCGTGCTGAAGGCTTTTAACTGACGTGTGTAAACCGGGCTTTACGGTGGCTCCTGGATGTATCCCTGGGTGAATCTGCCGTGGGTAAGACTGCAGCCCGGGTTGCGCACTACAGTCCTCTCTTCCGCCCCCTGCCTGTGGCATCACTGAAATGGGAAAGGAACGTGATTTTCCAACATGTTAGCAAATAATGATCCCCCCCGCTGGGCTCTTCCTCTCTTTTTCTTTTAATCTGCAGGCACTAGAAAAGAAAGTCCCTTATTTCTTATACTGTAGCTTTAAAAATGTTGACTTGTGGTCTATTGCTTAAATGTTACCTTAATATCTTGTGAGACAGCCCTACCGGTTTGGCTCAGTGGATAGAGCGCTGGCCTGTGGACTAAAGGGTCCCAGGTTCGATTCTGGTCAAGGGCGTGTACCTTGGTTGTGGGCACATCCCCAGCAGGAGGCAGCTGATCGATATTTCTCTCTTATTGATGTTTCTAACTCTCTATCCCTCTCTGTAAAAAATCAATAAAATATATTTAAAAAAATATCTTGTGAGACTGGCAATGGCTTTGGGGAGCAAGATTGGGCAGAAGCGTCACGGAAAAATTCCTTTTTGGTCACAGAAGTCTGGAGGGGGGCTCCCCAGGGTTCCTTGCTAACCAACAGGAGGTTCGGGGACCTCAGCTGGAGAGTGCCGAGGGGGAAGCGGGACAGGAAAATGGAAAGTCAGGTCCCTTCCCTATAACTGGGGTTCACGTCTGTGGGGTCTCTACAATGAACACAAAGAAGAGGCCCCCCTCACCCCACCCCGGAAGCTTCTGCAGAGCTCTACCACCTGCAAAGGGCTTTCCCAGGGCTTGCCCACCCTGAGATGTACTGACTACTCCAGCCATTTCTCTCCTGAGAACACTGAGGGTCAGGTCTTTGACCTGCAATAGCTCATCTTCATCACAATGACCTTAAAATAGTGTTTTTCTGGTAATAAATAACAAATTACATATAAAAGAGTGCTTGGGAGGCTGGAGGGGACCAATGGGGGGGAAAAGGGGACATATGTAATACTTTCAACAATAAAGATTTATTTAAAAAAACACAAATTGGTAGTTAGAAAATTGTGATGAGGATGCAAAGTACAGCATAGGGAACACAGTCAATAATATTGTAATAACTATGTATGGTGTCAGGTGGGTACTGGAAATATCGGGAGGGACATTTTGTAAACTATGCTGTACACCTGAAACTAATACAAAATAATATTGAAAGGGAACTGTAATTGGGAAATAAAATTTAAAATAAAGTAAGAAAAAAAAGAGTTCTTGACACATGAATACTTTGCCAATAATGACATTCTGTTTTAACATGAAGTGTGCTCTGAGAGCCAGGATATGCGCAATACTTTTGCTTCACATTTTGGCCCCAAATGATGTGCCTCTGTCAACTTTTGATGTTTCAGAGGTGAAGCCATTCGGTTTAGAAAAACTCTGTGGGAAACAACTGATTCCCAACAAGCCCTTGGCATGACATTGGAGATGTGGTTGAGCAGAACCATTAAAGGCCTGGGTTCAAATTCCTACTCTTCTGGGCACGTGGCCGGGACTCTCATGACTCCGTTTCCTAACCTGTCATAGGACTGCGGTGCGAGGTAACATGAAATGGCCCACACAGATCACTTAGCACGTGCGTGTCATATAGAGGGCCCTAAATAACCGGTGTTCGCCCCAGCCAGTCTCCCAGTAATTCTATTGCCGGTAATGAAGCTTCTGATAATAAAATGAGTTACAGGATGCAGCCTGTTCCCTCATGACGTATTCCTGCATGCCGTATCTGGCACAAGTTTATTGCATAAACGTGCGTGTGTGCTGGGTACAGGGCCCTGTGTTTGTGTGGAGGGTGACACAAAGGTGTGTGATATGGGATCCTGCTGGCAAGGTTACAACAGAGTTAGGACAGCGGTTCTCGACCAAGGGTGATTTTGCTTCCTGGGGTACATTTGGAAATATCTGGTAATATTTTTGATTGTGATGACCAGGGTGTGGGGCGCTGCCCCTGGCCTCCAGGAGGTAGAGACCAGAGATGCGGTAAGCATCCTAGAAGGCACAGGACAGATGGCCCAACCCCCCACCAACCCATGGCCTGCACAGAACCGACAGTGCTGTGATTGAGAAACCCTGTATGAGGGGCACAGAGTGAACTATCTGCAAGAGAGAAAATGCCTATTGGTGAGGCAGGTGGTACCATTTGGTGGGGCTTACACACAGTCACAGAGGTCCAAGGATAATATTATAGGACTTGACACCATTGAACTTGTGTTCCTATCAGACCAGAGGCCTGTTACATACTCATATTTTTAAACAAGCAGTATTTATTTTTATTAATTTGGGAGATACAAACACTTAAACTACAGTATGCTACAATTTCTGTATCATTGGTTTGGTAAATTTTAATGCTTAAACATGCCCCCCCAAATTGACATTAAAATAGCCCCCTTACTCCCAAAATGCAAGAAGCCTGGAACTCACAATCTCTAAGAGGCCCAGTGAATTGTAACGTAAGTGGTGGCAAAAATGTCAATATTACTAATGCTCAATCGGCATTTATTGAACTCCTACGACTATTTAGAGCCACACAACTATAGTACTAGCTTTTAAAACCCTTTCTGAAACCAAAGGCAGCTAGGCCATTATAGTCCCCTTTAACTGGCGTGAAGACTGAGGCTGTTAAGCAGGGTGGCCAGGCAGTAGCCTTCACTCCTACTGAGAGGAAAACTATATTACTCGTGGTTTGTCTTTTTTTTTTTTAGTTTTTAACTTAATTTTTAATATTTTAATTACACTTGACATACAATATTCTATTAGTTTCAGGTGTACAACAGAGCTGTTACAATACTATTGACTACATTTCCTATGATGTACTTTATTTAGATCCTTATGACTATTTTGTAATTGTCAATTTGTACTTTTTTTCCCTTCTTTCTTTATTGATGAAGGTATTACATATGTTCTCACCCGTGGTTTGCCTTCTCTCGCCAGTTGACTCCCGTTCTCTGATCCTGAGATGACGGCCGGGGCCATCCCACTCCCGCCCTCCTGCTCTCCACCGCTCCGGCCTGAGCCCCGCGCCCTGCACACCAGTACCCCGCACCTACCCGCAGGCTGCA